AATACAATTCAGTTCTACATATCAGCCACGGATTCCCTTGTTCTCCCCCCCTCCTGCCCCCCTCACCTTCCCCCCAGCCCACCCCCCATTCCCACCTCCTCCAGGGCAAAGCCTCCCCCACGGACTGAGATCAACCTGGTAGATTCAGTCCATGTAGGTTCAGTCCCCTCCTCCCAGGCCGAGCCAAGCAATCCTGCATAGGCCCCAGGTTTCAAACAGCCAACTCATGCAATGAGCACAGGACCCGGTCCCACTGCCTGGATGCCTCCCAAACAGATCAAGCCAATCAACTGTCTCTTTTTAGATTTTATATTGTCCTGGTGGTAAATTGTTTTGATTCTAGGAGAAAAAGAATCGCCTGCTGTTTCCTTTAGAACATTTAGGTCTTTTTTGTTTTGCCCATTTACATATGGGTCCATCCACCAGGAATATTTTCTATCTACTGAAAGCACAGTATCTGACTATAGTCTTTCCCAGAGAGATTGTCAAGATGTCCATTACTGAATTACTAGGATGATTCTATCTCTTCTCTGCTGACTTGGAATTCAAATGTCCCTTGCCTGTCTTGACACAGAGTCGCTGCTCTGTTTGTCTAATGTGGGTTATGAATCTATGGTCTTCCAAGTTATTTCTTTTTCTTGTGTACTAATTTTATTGAGAAATAATCCACACACTGTACCATTCACTAATCCAGTATGCACAACTCAATGGGTTTAGAGAATCCACAGACCTATACAACAACCAGCACAGTCTTAGAATATTTTCACACCCTACAAAGAACCCTTGTGCCCATAGCTAGCCTTCTCGGCTTCCTCCCAAGCTCCCCAGTCCTGGGCAGTCACTCTTTTCCTTTGTGTCTGTGGGGTCTCTGTTCCGGACCTTCTACATCCATGGCATCCTAGAGAATGGGATGTTTTAACCTGGCACCTTGCACTTTGGTAACACGTCCAAGGTCCCCCGTGCCTTAGCATCCATTAGTTTGTTTACTTTGTTTACTATATTTCTTCTCATTTTCAAATAGCATTCCACGTATAGATATAGATCATTCTGTTCACCCATTCAGCTGACAGACCTTTCGTCTCTTCCAGTGTCGGGATGTTAGATGTCTATCTATGTGCAAGTAGAATGGCCGAGTTATAAGGCAACTCCTTATTATCTTCAGAGGATCTGCCAAACTACTCCATTTTAAACCCCTCCCAGTGCTGCCTGGGGGTTCCCACTCCACACCCTCACCAGCATTTAATACTTTTTTTTAATCCATAGCCATCCTCATGGAGGTAAGTCTTGGAGCTGAGAATGTTAATGATGTCAAGCATCTTTTCACATGCTGCATGAGTCGATAAGGAGAGTTCACTGGTAAATGCATCATGGCCCATGGTGGGACAGGCTTGAAGTAGAAATAAGCTTTCCCTGGGGGCTCTCCTGTCTGCTTCATTATGATGGCTTTGATGTGTCATTGAAACTTATTTAGTAGCAGGATTCGTTTCGTCTTTACTCTGGAGAACACTCCAGAATCTAACTGTAATCATCGCTGCAAACCATTCCATTCATTTCTATTTCCCATTGACTCCCTTTCCCCATACTGATAGGAACAAGACCCAAGGGACCGGGCAGGTGGCTCAGGCAGTAAAGTGCTTACTGTGCTGCCCTAGGGACCTGAGATGGCTTCCCCAGAGCCCACCTGAAAGCCAGGTGTGGTGACACACGGCTGTTAAGTGCTAGGAGGTAGAGACGATGGACACAGAAGAAGATAAAGGACCACCAGAAATGCATGCACAGTTATTAGCACAGAGAACTTACTTTTAGAGAATAGCACCTTCTTTGTATGTCAAGTGTGTGTCTAAAAATTCGCTATGAACCATCTTAAATGACTCACCTGAGTTCACTTGGTTGAACACAGTTAATGATCTTATGAAAGAATACAAGACATTAAAATGCAAATACAGAGAACAATTTTAATTTGATGGTGATTCATTTCCCAGAACCCAGTATCCTGAGCAAGTCACTGCATCTAAATTAGGATCTTGGGGGTGGGGGTGGGGGTGCGCAGTGGTCAGAGGTCAATGCCAGGTATCTTTGTCAGTTGCGCTCTCTAACTTATTTTTTAAAGATTTATTTTATTTGTTTGTGTGTCACGAGTGTGTGTGTGTGTGTGTGTGTGTGTGTGTGTGTGTGTGTGTGTGTATGTATGCCATGTGTGTTTTTGTTTATATGCCACATATGTGCAAATACTCTCAGAGGCCGGAAAAGGGCATTGGATGCCTGATGCTGTAGCTACAGCATGGATGTTGGGGAACTGAATTCAGGTCGTCTGGAAGAGCAGCCAGTGCTCTTTACCAAGGAGCTGTCTCTCTAGCCCTCACCTTATTTTTTGAGACAGAGTCTCTAACTGAACCTAGAACTTACTGATTTGGCTAGGCAGACTGGCCAGCGAACCCCAGGGATCTGCCTGCCTCTGCCCATCAAATGCTGGGATTACAGGTGCACACCCCACTCAGGTTTTTGTTATTCAGGTCCCCATGCTTATGCAGCAGGTACTTTATGGGCTGAGCCAACACACACACACACACACACACACACACACACACACACACACACACACACACACACACACACACACATCTGTGCCCTGGACAAGGAGCTTGCCCTGAGTTCTGAGAGTGCCCAGCGTGGAGGACTTGGCAAACTCTCGGGCGATGTCTTCCCAGAACTTTAACGAAGGTTGTTTCTTTATTGGTAGAAGGAGATTCTCCAGGCTAGTTGGTACCCAGGCACCTTGTGTACATAATGATGGATTTCTACTGCCTCGGATTGCTGAGTTTGGCAAATCTCTTCATCGCAGAAAAAGTTGCTAAGCATCTCACCCAGCTGTGACTTTTTTTTTTCCTGAAGCAATACGCTGGGACATTACTCATCTCTTAGAAAGGGGCTATTAAAACATCCCACAAGACGGTAAATTACATGAAGCAGGTGTCCGCAAGAGAGGACTAAACATTCCATGGCCAAATATGATGATCTGGTACCAACCCAGCTTCTGGAAAGCCTAATTTAGTTCTTGTTTCTCAATTAAAATGCGGCTCGAGGCAAACATGTTGTTGTAGGGCCTGGCCTAATGAGCCAGCACAGGATCTTCGGTGAACCTGATCTGCCGCGCTTGCCTCCAGTGGGAGTAACGAAGTATTGGGTTCTTCATACAGCCTTAACTATGGCAGTGTTTCCTTACTATATTTTAAGGTGTAGGCACACGGGGACTAAGAGAGACTGGGAAGAATCCCAACGTCACACGGTAGAATGGTTTTGCTGAACAGAATAAACCAGAGTGAAGGGCTGGCGAGATGGCTCAGTCAGTTAAATGTTTGCCATGGACGTTCCTGAGCTCTGTACTCAGCAGCCAGATAAAAAGGCAGGTGTGGTGGTGCATGCCTGTAACTCAAGCATGCAGAGGGGAAGACAGGAGGATCCCTGTACCCCAAGGGCACATATGGCAACAGAGGGAGGTAAAAAAATATCCCTCATGTCACCGGACCAAAGGAGCCCTGTCTGGCTTTGAACACTAGCCTGATTTACTCCAGCATTTTTGCGTTTGCGAACTTAAGGGGTGTACAAGTGTATTTAGAGGAAAAGTAACCCCCTGAAATTCTTGACTATATACCCACATGTCCTGACTTCCGGGCAGCCCAGTTTGAGCAGTTTTATGTTGGAAATGAAGATACACCCCTCGGCAGAAGAGGAGGGAAGCAGTTAAGAGCCCCTAAATCTTGGGTGTTGGAGTGATGGCTCAGTGGTTAAGAGCACTTACTGTTCTTGCAGAGACCCAGGTTCAGTTCCCAGCACATACACAGAGGACAACCCACTGCAACTCCAGTTCCAGAGTAGCTGGTGCCCTGTTCTGGCCTCTGTGGGCACTGCATGCATGTGGTGTATAGCCATACATGCAGGCAAAGCATTCACACATATAAAATAAAAATAAAGCCTTTTTTAAAAATGGATTCTCATGCCTTAAGACCCTAGAAAAGGGACTGAGATGTTGCTTGCGGTCAAGCCTGATGACTTGAGTTCCAGCTGAGACCCACAGGGTGGAAAAGAGAGAACTGACTTCCACACATTGTCTACTGACTTCTACACACACACACTGTAGTGCATATCCATGTACATTTGTGTGTGCATGTGTGTGTGCACACAGATTAATTAATTAACTACTTAATGTAATAAACATTTTAAAGACCCTTGAGAATGTATCTCCCAGACTAATTTAAGAAATGCTATGCTCAACTCTTTCCTGTAGAGAACTGTGTCTGTTAAAATACTGAGTGCACCATGACTGTTACATAGTGAGGCCTGAGCACTCTGCACCCTCTTGTTTATGGCTGTGAACCAATTCTGAAGAGTCTTAGGGCAGCTGAGGAAGCGAGCCTAGCATACAACAGACAAATGTGTGTAATGCTAATCAGCAAATTGATTATGAGTTGTTGCTATCTGCAGATGTAAGCTTGGACTCAGCTTTGACATAAATCCATAGGGTGCAGGTAACAGTGTGGATGCCCAGCGGTGCCCTAGCCTTGAAATTAAAGGCTGTGCCCATGTTCCTTGCTCACTATGTCTTGGGTTTTGGAGTCTTTCCTGGGCAGACTTTCAAGGCCATAGTCTTGGAGATGCAGAGTGGTGTGTGTGTGTGTGTGTGTGTGTGTGTGTGTGTGTGTGTGTGTGTGTGTGTGTGTTGCGTAGATATGTGTAGTTGCTCATGCTCATGCATGTATGTGCACATGCATGGAGAAGCAAGAGGACATCAATCTTTTTTTATATTTATTTTGCTTTTTTGCTCTTTTAAGACAGCTAGTCTCAGAGATCCTTGTATCTTCACCTCCCCAGAGCTAACACTATAAGTGTGCAGTACCACACCCAACTTTGATGCAGGTCCTGATGGAACCCAGGTGGGGGGAGGGGCGGAGCACTTACAGTCTGAGACTTCTTCCTGGTCTGAGGGACAGGACCCTTTAAGTTATTACAGCTGTGCGACTCAGATCAGAAGCAGAAAGCATTCCATCTTCCCTTGGAACAATTGACGCTCACAGATCAAAGGACAAGATGGGAAAGGCTTTTTTTAGTTAGCTTTAACTATCAACTTGATGTAGCTTAGAGCCACCTATGAAGGGGTGTCTCCAATGCGGGCTCAACTCAGACTGCCATGTGGGCATGCCTGTTAGAAGGTTTTCTTGATGGTTAATTGATGTAGGTGGGTCCAGCCCACTGCGGGCGGCACCATTCCCTAGAGAGATGGTCCAGGCCTGCGTAAGAAAGCAGGAGCCTCTGAGTAAACCAGCTAAGTGGTGTTCTTAACTCCAAGTTCCTGCTGAATTCCTGCCCTGACTTCCATCAATGATGGACCTGCAAACAGAAGGCAGATAAACCCTTTCCTTCCTAAGTGGCTTTGACCCATGGCGTTTGTCACAGCACCCGAAGGGAAATTAGAGCAAGCTACAGAGCAGGCGCTCCATTACCAGCGAGCAGCAGGCCTTGCATCCTCCCTGCAATCAGCTGCAATCAGGTTCGGACTTTCGGTTTCAAAGTGCTCTTGCATCTGGGAGGCAGCTGGAAATGGGAGATTTTTCTTAGGAAGAGTGGTTTATTGGCGGTAGAGGGTGAAGTTGAAAAAAAAAATGCTAGAAACACAGTAGAGGGCCAAAATCAGTGGGTGGGATGGAAAAAAATCCCACCATTTCCTTCAGGTCAATACGGAAGTCACACGGTAGAAAGTTCCTCCGGAAACCAGGCAGTACAGTCACCACATAGAAACATGTCACCCAAAAAGCTCAAAGCTTCCCTGAGGCAGATCCCGGAGGACTCTTTGAAACATCCAGGAAGGAAAGCTGTAATTTTCCTAAAGTCTGCCTTCATCCACCTCCTCTCCCTGCCCTGTGAGGGCTCTGGTTAAATATTCCGGAAGGATGCCAGCTCCCAAGGTGGATGGATCTGGAGTAGAGGACAAATAATAACGCCTGCTGTTATTAACCACAGGCGTCTTCCTCCTGGGTGGGTTCTTTTTTTTTTTTTTTTTTTTTTCCTTCCGGCTCATTTTTGATATATCATCCTGATCTAAATCAGGAAAATGTATTCTTCCGTCTGGAGCAGCCCCCGCAGTCTGCACTGAATGGGGCTCCCACCTCTGACAAAGCGATCGGCTTCTTCACGGCTGGCAGGTGAGTAAATTGGCTTTTACTAGGTGCCATTAAATATGGTTTGGGGCTGATTTACTACCTGCTGGCAATGCATGGAAGTGGAGTACATAATACACTAAGCTGACAGCATTCATCTTTTGTTTATAATTCATTGCAGTTCGTTGGGCAGACAAGCGGCAGTGCCGGGGAGACCTGAGCAGCGTGGAGAGCAGTATCTGTGGGTGTCAGGTGGGGCACCCCAGTTCCTGGACCTGTAGCAGCATGTCTTGCCTCTTTCCTGTTGAGGTGCATGGTGACTGAAGCACCCCTGGCAGGAACCCTGGAGCCTTCTGGCTGCTCCCAGACCTAGCCAAGCATGGCCCCCTTGGCTTTTGCCTTCCTGTCTGTGATTCAGCCTGTGGAGGACTGGAGGGACTCTGGTCGTCCCTGAACAGAGGTTTACATGGCTCCTCCCTGCCCTTGCTGCCTCTTCCACCCATATGTGTCTCATCACCACATCTGTAAAGGGAGCAGCACCTAGAGGGTGAGTAGAATTAGCCCTTCCTGGAGACACCCTTACAGGCCTGCCCAGGGGAGCACCTCTTAGTTGATTCTGGAGCTGACCAAGCTGATAGTCAAAACTAAACATCACAGCCTTCATCTTCACACTGTCCTCTCCCTGGCTTACAGCCCACCACTTTCACCATGCCTGCACCCCGCAACCAGCACAGGCCCTCAGTCATCCTGTCTTCCTGGTGCAGAATCCCTGTGAAAACCAGCTGAAGCTAGATACAGCCTGTGTATACCTGAGCAACTGGACAAAGGCATCTAGTTAAGTTCATGACCTGGCACACAAGTAGGTCCCTCTGGGTCCTGATGTTGTCCCAACCACTTGCCGTCTTGGTCTCTGGGGTCTTTGCTTCATCCTGGACCTCTAACCTCCTTTCCTCACCTTTGTCCTCAGTCAGTGCTATTCTTTCACATTCAGTGATCATACAGAAGCCACAGGAAGTGCTCACTCGGGCTGGAGTGGGCTTTCCCATGATGTAGTTCCTGTAAGTGGCCCTAGTAAAGCCCCGGTTCACTAAGTTGGCCTTCAGTAGAAACCTGACTTTGTCAGGTGCCTATCCAGTATGGGTTGGAGTTTTCATGCACGCTCCCCCCCTCTCACCTGTCCTTGGCTTAACCTTTAACCCTTGCATGCACATGAGCCTGCATGGCACACTCGGATGCTCCTCCATCACATCACATCTCAGGGCTGTGCCTCTGCCCACGGTGAGGCTCTTTCCTCTGCTCTCAGCCCGTGGACACACTTCATTCAGGTGTCAGCAGAAGCAGCCGCTGGTCTGCTCCATCCTCTCGTCTGCCTTTCCTCCCCACAGAAAGCACACCCCTCTTGTCACCACACTGCCCGTGTCTCTCCCATGAGCTAGCAAGCCGTGTTTTTTTTCCTCGTGTCTACCACCAGGTTATCAGACCCTCCAGACAGTGAATACTGAGCGGGTCTGCTGGGAGAAATAATTTCCAGCAAATATTCTTTAAGAACAATGAATGATTGAAAATCTCCCCTGTTCAGTTAGTTTTGAAAATAAGAACAGGAATGAGTGCAGTAGTAAGAACGGTGCAGAAATTTGGCTGTACGGGTCATTGTGGGCTTGCTGAGAGCGTACCGTGGGGCTGGGGAGACGGCTCTGTGAGTAAGGCGTGAGGACCTGAGTGTGGATCCCCAGCACCCACATAAAAATCTGGGCATGGTGGCAGCGCCCTGTAACTCTGCGCTGGGAGAAGGGTGGAGACAGGCGGGTCCTAGGGGTTTGTTGTCCAGCGAGAATAGCCAATCCGTGAGCTCCAAGCTCAGTGAGAGACCTTGCTTCAAACTATGATGGAGAGGAACTGAAGAAGCCCTCCTGAAATCAGCCTCTGGCCTGCACACATGCACGCACAGGCACACATATGAGCGTGCGGGGTGGGGGTGGGGTTATGCCGTGGTGGGAAAAGATAGTTATTCTGAAACAAAGTTTGGAAAGTAAAGAGAACGGAGTGGAAGGAGTGTTCGGGGAGAGCGTAAAGGTTGGAAGAGCGTGGGAAGGAGACAGGGCGCTATGGACCATAAATCACAGCAAGGCTATTTTCACCGCCATTGTCCTTCTTTATTTTGTGTTCCTGGCACCAAACAATTCATCATTCCTGTTCCGTGTTACTGGCAGCAAAAAAATAGCACTTGGCTCAAAGTTTGGATGGGAGAGAGCAGCTTCGAAATCGTAGGAAACTGTGGGAGCAGCTGGAGCCCTGTGTGTTCCGGGGCGTCCTCACTGTCAGCTGCAGGTGTCTTTGTGCTGCCGGGATGCAAAGAGCCAGGGTGAGGAGTCTGAAGGCAAGGAAGCGTTTCTAGATAGTCTGTCGTAAGGTAGCTCATGGTCTTCTTTGTCCCAGTCTCTTGCCTCAGTGCCTACAGTGTGGCCTTGGAGAATGCCTACCCTCTCTGTGTGTAACACCTCTTTCTTTGGAAACTCTTAAGGTACTTGTTTACTTTGTGGAGTGTGTCTGTGTGTCTCTGTGTGTGTCTGTGTATCTCTGTGTGTGTCGTGTGTGTGTCTGTGTTTGTGTGTGTGTATCTGTGTGTGTGTCTGTGTGTGTGCCTGTATGTGTGTCTATGTGTCTCCCTGTGTGTGTCTGTGTGTCTGTGTGTGTGTGTGTGTGTCTGTGTTTGTGTGTGTGTATCTGTGTGTGTGTCTGTGTGTGTGTGTGTGTGTGTGTGTGTCTGTGTTTGTGTGTGTGTATCTGTGTGTGTGTCTGTGTGTGTACCTGTATGTGTGTCTATGTGTCTCTCTGTGTGTGTCTGTGTGTGTGTGTGTGTGTGTGTGTCTGTGTGTCTGTGTGTTTACCTGTATGTGTGTCTATGTGGCTCTGTGTGTGTGTGTGTGTGTGTCTATGTTTGTGTGTGTGTATCTGTGTGTGTGTCTGTGTGTACCTGTATGTGTGTCTGTGTGTGTGTGTGTGTGTGTGTGTGTGTGTGTGTGTATGTCTGTGTGTCTGTGTGTCTCTCTGTGTGTGTCTGTGCACACAGGCACATGTGCAGTTCCATCACCCTTTTTTCTTTGCTATGTTATAAGCAAATGTTCTCAGGCCACCGGCCCTTCTCCCGTAGAGCCTTCTACTGGGGAACTGATGTCCGGACCCCAGGACCATGCCCATTACCACCAGCCCACCACCAGGACGCTGGCAGTCCCTGCAGAGATAACCTTGGGTCTTCATTTCGGGCAGTGGTTCTCAGTCTTCCCAATACTTTGACCCTTTAACACATGTGGTAGTGACCCCCCAACCACAAAATTATTTTCATTGCTACTTCATAACTGTAATTTTGCTACTGCTATGAATCATAATATAAATATCTGTGTTTTCCAATGGTCTTAGGTGATCCCTGCGAAAGGGTTGTTTGACCTCCAAAGGGGTCATGACCCACAGGTTGAAAACTGCTGATCTGGGGCCTATCTAGACCCAATGCCTAGAAATGTCACCCTCAGCAGGCTCTTCCTGTGTGCTCACCTCCAGGTCTGGGGGTCTGGCCACATGAGCCAAGTGTTTACACAGCATACAGGAGGCTGCTCCCGGTGCAGAAAGGACCAAGTGAGCCAGAGAAGTGGAGCTGACAAGTGTGGATGTGGATTCTAAACGTGAACCCAAGCTTTCGGAACATTTGCAGTTGAGTCTGAATTCAGCGGCACCCTGTAGAAACTGGAGAGGTGTTTCAATTGATAATGTGCTTCTTTAGTAAGCAGGAGGACCCGAGCTCCAATCACCAGCACCCGTGTTAACACATATATGCATATACATGATGTGGTAGCGCAGTCTTCCACACTTGCAATCCCAGCCCCGGGGAGACAGAGACAGGAGGGTTCCTGAGGCTTGATGTGCAGTCAGCACAAAGTGCTTTCTTTTAACTCCAGCTCACTTTTGATTTTTGTGAGACTGGGTCTTGCCATGTATCTCAGGTTGCCCTTGAACTCTAGGTCTTGGGGTTATATCATGTACCTGGGTCATTTTGAAAGAATGCTTACCAGCTGTGTTGTGAGTCTGTTGGCTTTGTTTAAATTGGGGCAGCACTTGAGCCCCCGTGGTTCCAGCCCGCAGGGGATCTTGGAGTCCTCAGCAGACCGGACCTCCTCATTCGGAAGCAATGCTGGCATAGCTCATGCCTCCAGCCTGTCCAGCTCTCCCTCGGCCTGTTTTCTCTATGACATTCTTCACCCCGTGTGGCTGAACTTGGAAGTGCTGTTCCTCAGTGTTGTATCTTCCACATGCCTTGATTCCCATTTGAATCTTGAAGACAAAACATGCTTAAATCTCACTTTGCCATTTGTGTTTTATTGTATACAGCCCTGCTACTGTGATGTACTCAGATTTTGTTTTTGCCTCATGTGTACATGCATGCATGAGTGTGTGTGTGTGTGCGTGTTCCATGTTCATATGTGTATGGGATACTGTGGTGGTGTGTTTGCATGCATGTGGTAGCCAGAGGACAACCTTGGGTGTCCTCTTCAGTATAGTGTCCACTTCGTTTGGAGGCAGAGTCTCTCATTAACTCAAAGTTCATTGGTTAGGCTAGGCTGGCCGGCCAATGAGCGAGCTCCAGGAATCTACCCTTCTCTGCCTCCCCAGTGCTGGGATTACAAGCACACGCTGCTGCCATGCCACGCATTTCCATGGCTCTTGGGATCAAACACGGGTCTTCATGCTTATGGAGTAAGCACTTTACAAACTGGGTATGTCCTCAGTCCTCAGAGATTCTTTTTTATGTCACCATATATTCCTTTGGGTGTCTATTATAAGGAAATATAGAAAAGTCACCATTACCAGGCTATCTGAGTTCCAGAAACGTAGACAGTTCGGAAGCCTCAGCTCAAGGTCCAGAGCAGTCATGAAATCCAGCGGCAGAAGCACTCTGGGTTAGAGTGCACAAAAGTGACTATCGGGGAGAGATGTATACAGGCACAGGGTTGGACCTGACAGCTTCAGAGCCACCAGCCATTCTACAGACCCTGAGGTGTGACAGAGCCATCCTGTGTCAGCAGCCCGGTGTGGCGGTCGTTCCGCATTCTCAGAGAGCGCCCTCTCTGGGGCCCCACTGTCCCTTATGTCAGTTGGGTCTGGCTGCCACCTTCTCCAAGGTTGCTGGCCGCTCCTCTCCGAGCCTTTCTTCCTCTCACATGTCCATTCCTCTCCTGTGTCAGTGGTCACATAAATTCACAGTGTCCAGATGGTCTTCTGTGGACAGCCTTTGGTCCAGGTGGGGAGGTGGGGTGAGGACAGGTGCCCAAAATTATCAGTTCCTACTGCAGGCCATGTTTTGTTGGACAGGTCTCACCCCTTCTGGGCACCAGGCCCACTTCCTGTTGTCTGTCAAGGCTAAAGGGAAGGAATTCAGTGGGCATATTGGGGAGCTGGGCACTGTGCGTGGTGGTGCTACCATGCCCTTCCAAAGGCCTCTGCAGGGTGGATATTAGAAATTAGGGTACTGTCTACAGGACGACATTCTTCTTCTCT